TACGCCACCTTTTTGGCAAGCAGGCAGTCCCGGACGCCCTTGTGCATTAGATTGTTCTTTCCGAAGTGCAGCCTTTGCATTGGTCTTTCTCAACTTTCTTTCCCCTGCAGCCCTGTAACCCAAAGCCTACTGCTTCTTACTTCTCTTTGCTCAGCCTCTCCTTGGAACGACATCTGGCTTGACTTCATTTACAAACATTTGTGCTTTTTGGAATATTTGTTATAACAGATTCTACCAATTTTTCATGCAGCGGGGGGAGGCAAGAAATCCAAGACTATTCACTTCCTCTGGCTTTTTTAGAACAGCTCTGCTTAAACTGCAGGGCCTTAGCTGACTTACCTGTACGTTGGCAAGAGACAAAGGCAGGCGAACTGGTTCCCCCTGGATGAAGCAATGCCTCCAACTTCTCCAGTCTAGTTTCTCCTGGCCCCAGGCATCACACCGCTTAAAAAGGAGCTAGCCCAACATGCCCACACATACAGAAAGCCTGAGATGCACCAAAATGGAGTTACGGTTTAGAACGGGAGCTGTGCCACCTTATCTACCAATGATTAACTCCTCCTTTAAAACGACAAGGAAGCAGTAAAGTGAATGCACTTCAGCCCAAGCTGATGTCGACATTGTTTATTTTCTGGGCTGATGTGCCAACTTTTTACCGAAAATGATCTGTAGGAGGAGAAGTTCCCTGGAACTTGGATGAACAGGTTATTGTTTGTTCCAAGAGCAAAAGAAGACTGGTGTGCAAGCTAAGCCCGCTGGTACCTGGTAAACCATGGCGGGTCACTCCACCCTGCCTGAAGGAGATCATTGCCGTAACAGCCCGACAACAGCGGTATATACAACTGGAGGCTTTTTGATCCATTTTTGGTGGGTATTTTCAACACGCATAGTTCCTTGGGATCTCTAAGGGAACAGAGTGCCTACCACCCATAAGCCACGTGGTCAAGTGCAGCCTGTCCCTCTTCTGGGTCAAATCCTGGAGTCTTGGCTCAGGTCCCCTAAGCTCCAGGTAAATGCTCCTCGACACCGACGGGAATTTCGATGGGGCCTGCATCTTTGGGATTTGGCTTTTCTGAGTCTTTGCTTCTTCCCCTTCAGACCGGTTTCACTTTGGGTGTGTTTGAATGTTCCTACCTCACCAGTCCGCGCACCTTAGGAGTATACAGGAATTGTCTAGTGGTCCTTATACCCCTGAATCCTGTTTTCTGCACAGAACCGGTTTACTGAACCAATGTGGGGTTCTCCAGGAATTTAACTTGTCCAAGTGCAATATCAGACTACTGCAGCAGAGAATTCCTCCGGGTTTACCTGACGCTCTTTGCTGCAGCTGCCCCGTGGAGGCTGTTAAAACACATGCTCAAGTGACTTCTCATTCCTTTACAAGCCACTTAAAGGGTGAGAGTGCACAACTACCATCAAGGCACAGACCAAAGATTCATTTCTGAACCACCTGGCTCCATACTGGAACCATGTCAGAATGGAGAGACGATCACGGGTGTCACTCTTTCTAGAAAACAGGTGAACCAGCATAAAAACCGCCCACAGAATTGGCACTACTTGTCTCCCTTTATCAGTGTATCCATTTCGGCTGAGCGGTCAAAGGCTGATAGCCCCATCTCTCTGGCTCTATCCCCCGTCCTCTAGCAATGGTCCTTGCAGGGAAGGGCTGGGGCACCAGTGGGGCCGTGTGGAGGGAGTCTGATCTTCAGAAGCCTCTACCGCTCCTCTGGACAGCGTGGGTTACCCAACAACTCTCACTGGCACTAAATCTACCTGGAAATGAATCTCAAACAGAAAAGACAAGAACCACCCAAAACTGCAGCACAGGTTGTTTATTGAGGTCTTTCTTGATTGGGTCAGCTGGGCTTTTTGCCTCCTCATCAGCTGGAATTCTAGGTTTTCCAAGTCAAGCTTTTCTGTTTCTAACAGGGACCCGAGTTCAGTCCTGGTCATCTCACACGACAGGAACCCTGCCAGCTGGCGCACACTTTCACAGATGTCATGAGGGTTGTGATCTTTCCGAGAGAGGCATAGCAGAGGGTCCATCACTAGGCGACACACAACCAGCTTACACGCGTCTGTAAACTGAACTAAGTGCCACATTTGCATTCTCGTTTTGACCCGAGGTTGGGTTCCCAGAGTATTACACGAGATATTAAAACGATCTTATTAGGAGATAGAAATGCCAGACAGACAAGACTAGAAACAGCATTTCCAAGGAAAGCAGCAATGTTTAAGTAGACCTTCTTACAGGCAGAAGTAGCCTTCTCCTCTTGTGCTCCCTCGCCTCCTGAGAAAACATTCTGGTAAAGAGGTTTGCGAGCAAGGAGGCACTTAAGACATGCAAATAACAAAGCAAAAACTAGGGACAAGACAACCCAAGAGGTTCGTATTTTAACCCAGCAGCAAAGGGTCGAATGTAAATCGGGAAAAAATATCTTGAATGAGATTTTTTTCTAAATACCTGAATCCAAGACACAAAGCAGCAGTTCAGCTCCTGCTTTTGCTTTGGCCAGACTCTGTGCTGCATATTGGCTTATTTTGTGCCGCATGGTTGGGCAATCTGAAGGCAACCTACTGACACCGACAGGGTTACTGACCTCACATCAGTATTTGCTGCTTCTCTGGCACAGCAGTGCAGCTCATGTCAAAACATAGGCCCTCCCCTCAAGGTCTCATTTTTCAAATGGCTTCACAGAACAGCAGAAGACACGTTCGTGCTGAAAAACAACTACCTTGTCCATTGGTACCTAACGTCCGTCTGAAGGAGAGCACGCTCTGGTATCTGCAGCATTGCACCGCAGCTGGCACCATAAACGTCTAGATGAAAAACCGTATGCTGCAATACAGTGCCACAATTTCAAGAGGATTCCTTAACCCACAGCTCTGAATCTAGCACTGGAAGGGCAGGGAGGAGGGAGTGGAGGTGGGCGGACGTGACAGGGAAAGGTGGAAGCTGTTCCCAGAGAAAAGCTGGCAAATGTAAATCCTGAAACTTAAAGGCAAATAAAAAGCACCCAAAAATTGATTATTTTTTAAAATATCATGATTTTTAAAATTAACATCATACATTTAGGAGCGGGGAGGCTAACTCGATGATTAAAGACCAGCGTTAAAAAGTCATTCCGAAACCTTACCATTAGCTGATTTTCCAGGGCCAGACCAGCCTGATCTCCTTTAGATATTTGAATTTTACCGCTCTGAATGATTTCCACAAACTCCTCAGATTCCCAGACATAACTGATGCTTTTTCTGTAGACCCCAATCATTGATGCAAAATGTCCCTAAGACACCTTGCCCATTACCACACAACTCAATGAATAATAATGGGGAAAAAGAGACTTATTTTCAGAGATTCTTTATTGTAAATAAACGTTCATGAAGGTTTATGCAGAACTACAACCAAGCCACAGGCATGTTGGAAATACCGTACTCTTCGCCATGAAAACAATATTAAAAACCAATAAAAGTATCAAAATTCCAAGTACTCCTGGGGGAAATATCCCAACCGCTCACAAGATAAGGAACAAACATGAACACGGCTCCCAGGTAGTGGTTTTGATCCTGCATGCCTTACACAGACAAAATTCAGGCTCCACAAGAAGCAGGACCTTTCCAAAGCAACAGCAATGCGCATGTCACCATAACTGAGGACAGAAACTTTTCCCATACAGCTGGGACAACCCCCGTCCCCATCACAGTTAGCATGTGATGCACAAATGCAGATCACCCCCATTTGGGAAGGGAGTTCCTACAGCATTCAGCTTCATGGATGACCAAGCAGATGATGGAGATACGGTAATATCAAGCAAGACCCAAGAGCTCTTAACGTGAGTTATTAAGAGGAGAAAAAAAAAGGAGGAGGTGGAAACACATTCTGAAAAGCATCCGAGGACCTCTCTGGTCTAGATAGCCAGGGAGCGCCAATAGTGTCCGAGACCATAAGCAGCGCACACAGATTCAAGCTACTCAGGTGATTAGCACCTGCATTCTGGTAGGGAAAAAATATATTACTTATCTCTTGTAACAATTAAGCATAATTCAAGGAGAGAAATACAACTAACTCTGTAACAGCATGCAATGGGATTATGGCAGGTTGTGCGCAGACCGATTACAGCGCGTGGTTATTTTCCCTTACTGCAATCAGGGCCATTGTTTCTACAGAAGCAACTGGCTTAGGCAGTAAGCTCATGAGCTGAGGGAAATGACTGCGGATGCCAGGATGTGACACCCCCAGGACTGCCCCTCTAGCAGGCTGTGTGCTTTTGTTTCTAATGCAGTGCAAGTTTCACAGAGCCAGCTGAAGGAGAGGGGACCCTGCTTCCACAGGAGTCACGGGAACAGCTCATACAAGAGAAATGACCTGAACTCAGACTCCTCAGCCCAAGGCCTGAGCTATGAGATGCTTATGCCCTCAGGAGCACAAAGACCTTGTAGTGGCTCTAGGCAGGGGGGAGGAAGACAGGCTACAAGGCTGCATTACTAAATTCCAACAATGGGAGAGGTCACAATTAAAACTGTTCGATTAACTATCTATGAGCAAAGGGATCTGAGCTCTCCGCCTCCCTAGACGTGAGCTCGATCCTTCAAAGTGCTGACTTACTTCAGAGCAAAAGCAAAGCAGCAGCTCTTCTCCAGTAGACATACAATCCAACATTTTCAAGCTTGCGACTGAACATGGGCACAGATCATTCTTATTTACGCACCAAAAATAAGGGATTTCCTTTACAGAGGTGCTGAACTCCTATAACACCCCACCTGAAATCACTGAAAAGGACAGGTGCACGATACTCCAATAAAAAAGCTCCAGCCAAGTGGTTAAATAGGAACTTTTGTATTTAACCTTAAGTTGTCAAGGAGAAAATTCTGTCCTCAGCACATGGAGAAAGTTTCAGAGTACGACAACATGAAGTACAACAAAAAAAAGGTGAAGATTCACAGGAGAATTATATGTAAAAGTCTGGATTAAAATTGACCGCCAACACAAAACCACCAGCACAAAGCCTACACGTTTCTTAAAATGAGCTTTCATGTGATGTGTAGCCGTTGTGCTGTCCGTGTGCTTGGGGAGAATGCCAGCCTCTGTGCATCAGACAGTGCAATGTAAAGCTACATTATAAGCTATTTAAAGCTACATTTAAGGTATTAAAGGCTACTTTATAAGCTATTTACTTTCACAGTTCATTTATGTCCCAACTGAAAATCTGCTCCAGGCCTAAAAGCTTGGTATCTTTAAGAGTCATAAAAACAAGGTTTCTATTTTAAAATTGCACACACTGCTGCTGCGCAGAGACTCCGAACTTTAAAACACAGACAAGTACAGCAAGGAGGAATTGCTAGTTAATGTATGAACAAGGGGAAGGACCACAGAGATTACTCCAGCACCAAGCAATGATCACAACAGTGAGAAAGGAAAAATAGGAACAGCAAGGGTCAGAGGAAAAGCAGGATGCACCAAAAAAACTGAGTCCCTTGGTACAAGTTCCCTCTCTCCTCTCCTCATGGGTACAGCAGTTCCTGTATACTTCTGTCAACTTCAGACACAGAA